ACTACCATCACTTTCTCAAAATAAAAGGGGAACAGACTATCAAAAACTTTGTTACACTTAACTAGCAGTGCCTCATCTTTTTTCCAGAACACTTAACATGCATAAACCTATAAATCCAGGAAATAAAGTATCATGGGAAACATCTAGCATTGTGAGAGTCAGCAAGAGTGTATACCATTACATTGGATACCACACAGATAATGGCAGATTATTTACGGGACTGGTCAGGTTTCGTTTTCTTCCATTACCAATTGCTAACTGCAGAGGGAGGAAAGAGTTCAGGTTCTGCTGGGGGGAAGGGTGTGGACACCATTATCTTAACTTCATTTTCCATCTTAACTTCATATCTTTGTTTAGAGGCGTAAGTATAAGTGAATTTGACATTCTGGATAGGTATGAGGAACTGCTGGTTAATCTTAACTTTGCATTAATAAGTAGCAAAATTGTATTTTAATTCAGTTTTCTTCCTGTTCTGTCTTCGCCCAATACTTCCTATCCTTCCCTTCAGTCAAATCCTGTTAACACAGATTATGAGAAAAGCCTAAAGAGTAAGGGAGGGTTGCACATGTAACCTCCAAGTTTTAGGGTGAAAAAGAAGTATTCACTTCAGAGCCCAGGCTGAGGCCCTATTCCACACATACTGCTACAGTGTCAACTGGAAGTCTTGGTACCTCAGATGGCTATAACCTTATCCTAGAAGATAGATTCTGCTGTGACTCCCACCTCACGTAACAGTGAGAAAGTCAGGTGGGTCCCTAGTGCCTCTACTTTGCCTTGGTACGGCAGGACTTGCTCAGGAATCTCAGTGCAAGTAGAATATCCATCATTTATAAGTATTCATGTTTTCATTTCAAAAGAATCTTAGAACATTAGGTATCACCATAACATCCTTGTGAAGTAGGTCACACTTCACACACACTTTATTGGAAGAAAATCATGCAAAGTTTAAATGAATTACCCAGGAACACAGAAGGAATACCAATCCTGAGACAGGCCAATACACCAAAAGCTGTTCAGAGCTCTCAATATTTTAGTATTACAAACTAATTCTATGTCCTATATCAAATATAATAGTGTCACAAGCAATTTCTCTTCTACTACTTCCATTTCCAACATGCTGAGCTGCAGCACAATCAAATATCACCCATAAAAGTAGCTTTGGATTTTTATTTTTAATAATGATGCCAACAGCACTTCTCTAGTCTTCAGGCTAACTTTTAAATGCAATAGTCAATTTGAAATTAACTTTTAATTTCAAATACAGATTGAAAAAAAGATATATATTTTCCTATGTATCCCCATATTATCGATACCAGGGACTGCAAACAAAGTTAATATAAAAAACTTGTGTTATGCTATGAAGGTGTAATCAAGGACATGTTAAAAAAAATTGACAGTCTCTTAACACTGATGTAACTGGACGGGATGGAAGAAGGAAAACTGATGCAGATCATCCATCTGACTGCATTTAACTGATGTTGGAACATTTTTCTTGGCAACTCTGATTATAGGGTTTCAATGGTTTTCACAGTCTCTTGCCACATTTGTCTTACATTTAGCAAGTACAAGTACACTATGCTGGTCCAGGCCCGGCCAAGACAGAAGTCAACAGCTGTAAAAATGATGAATCCAAGACCAAAAAAGGCCATATATTCCACAGTCACAGATGAACTTCTTTAGAAAATTTCCCTTCACAAGACATTTGAGGAACACATCAAAGGCAGGTTTACTGTATTATCTGAGTTCCAATTAGATTATGAAACCATAAAAGCGTGCACAGTTCAAATAAGCATTCCTAATCTTAATAAGAATAAATGAAAGTGTCCAATCATGCTGAGAACATCTGCTTTCCTAGTGATGGATCTCCAAAACTTTTACAATTCTTGAAACAGTGATTATATCCTCTAGAGTTTTAGACAGTGAAAAGCAGAAGTTTCAGGTTTTTACATGTTCTAACAAGTATCTTGGTGTTTTTCAAGCATAAAGGTTAAATGTTTTTGAGTAAGGAGTCAAATTCCAGCAACTAAACTACCACATGATAAGGCCTGGGTGCAGGGGTTTGTCAGCTTTCCATAGAAAGATCAAACAATTATACAGATAAATACCAAGAAATAAATAACTCAAAACAACACTTTTCAAAATCAGGTGTCAAACAGTACTGAGAATCTGAGATCCCAAAAGAATGGGAGAAATGCATTCAAACTCCAAGGAAGGAAAACATATTTATAAGATACTTTGTGGAAGAAGTGGGCTGTGCCCACGAAAGCTCACGATACCATCTACATGTTTTGTTAGTCTAAAAGTGCTACCAGACGATTAGTTGTTTTTTTCTGTAATAGACTAACTCAACTACCCCCTGAAGCATCATTCGTGTAGGTCACTTTTTGTAGTCCCACTTAAAAATAGTCTTTACAACTTGGCATTTCACACAGGTCACTTTAGTTAGAGTCAAGTCAGCACTAAGGACGTTAAGAGGCAGGTAACTGGCTAATCATGTAGTTGATACAATTTCTATAGACTACACAATTAGTTGATAAGGGTAAGCGATAAGTCCCAGCTTGCACCAGGTCAGGAGCTACCCCCCACTGCAGCTCTGCAGTTTAAATGAAGTAAAATCAGATACATTTAAAATGCAGTGTCACAGCAAGGATAGGTTCCAGAACCTTGCACAAGCAAGGACTGAGCTGGACTTGCTCAGTCCCAGCTCATGCTGGGTCCAGCAGCCTCTGTCCCCGGGCTGACTGCAAACAGTTCATCTAGTCAACTACTTGTATTCCCCCTTGCTGCTTCTATCAGCCAGTACTGTCCCCATTGCTATTTCTGTATCGGAGGCAGCAAGGTGGGGGGAGCAGCAGCTGGTGCAGGGGGGGAACTGTCTTAAAAGCCAGTTTCTTCCAGCACCAGCTCCGGAGTGCTGTCTGCTCCCTGCCCGGCGCTACTGCCTCTGTCTGCCATGGACAGAGGCTTCTTTCTGGCAGCCTCCTCCACTCCCCACCCCGCCAGCAGCCTCTGTCCATAGTTAGCTCGGGCCTCTGTGGACATGGACTGCTGTCAACCGGAGAGGCAGCAGCATGGAGTGGCATGCATCTGTGAGGGGAGCTAGTTTTTAAACTGGCTCCACTAACAGACCGGCTCCTGCCTGGCACTCTGCACTGCTGCTTGCCCGGGCTAGCAGGGGGCTCCCCAGAAGTGGGGCCGGATTGACTGGCTGCCAGCCCCGCACCTGGAGACTATAGAATGGTTAACTAACCATTAAAAATTCATGAGGTTAGTCGACTATTCAATTAACCAATAGCTAATATCCCTAGTTCCAGCCCAACTGAGGACTGTGGGGGGCAGATAGGGGGCTGGAATGCCAGCGCAGGTTCCCCCATGCTTGGGAGGGGCCCTAAGCTTGGGAGCCAGATCCAGGCAAACCAGGGGCTGCACCTGGTCCACGGGCCTTAGGTTCCCTACCCCTGACTTAAAGTAATCCAAGGGTTTGGTTGCGTCAGGAAAATGAGATGTGCCTGGAATGGGACTGCTTCTCCTAAAAATATAGAGAAAACAGACAAAATCTCCAGGCAAGTGCAAGGGACTGGCTATGGTCAAGCCTTCCTTCACCAGTCAGGGACCGCCCCAACCCAAAGCCTCCCACCCACCCAGAATCATACACTGAATGAAAACAGTGATGGCTGTTCCTCTTCATCAGGAAGTGCAGCAAAAGTGCACAGTTGCTGTATTCCTCACTCTGGCTGAGGAGCGCAGAGGGCAGACAAACTGTACACTTTGCATTTGCTCCCTGACAGGGACAGGAAGGTGAAGAAAAAACAGCCCTGTTACAAATGGGGGGAGGGGGCTTTTGGGCCCTTCGCCCTCACATACACAACTCTGCCCAGGGCCCCTCCTGATCCCCCAAACCTGACTCCAGCACCCCATATGCTAAGAATCTAACAGTGTAACCGGTAAATGGTTAACTAAGAAACATGAGCTTATTGATTACCATAACGGTTATATGTCGGCTCCCGGTCTCACTCTCGAGGCGAGCCACCTTCTATCCGACACTGCTGGCTCTACATCAGAGCCTGCAGCACAGGGCAGCAACCAGCTCCATTGGAGTGGAGTTGGGAGCAAATACACGCTTGCTCCCAGGAAGCCGGCTTCTGTCCTATGCTGCCACCTCTATCAGAGGCAGCCGACTCCCCAAGAGCAGAGTGACAGGCAGGAGCCAACTGCCCGTCCCCTCACATTGCTCCTTCTGTATCAGAGGCAGCAGCACAGGACAGCTGCCAGCTCCCCAAGAACGGGGCAGCAGGCACACATCTGCTCCCAGGGAGCCAGCTGCCACTCCGCACTACTGCCACTGCTTCTGTCACCACCAGCTCCAGGGGAGCCAACTCCTGCCCCGTGCGGCAAGCTCTGCAGTAGAAAGTTTATCAGAGCATGCAGTGCTGCTAGCTCCCCGGAAGTGGGGCTGGCAGCCAGGAGCTGGCCCCTCTCCTGGGGAACCGGCTGCACTGCAGGATCTACAGTATAAGCTTTATATTGCAGAGCCCACAGCATGTAACTGCTAAGATTTTTAATGGTTATACAGTACCTAATTAACCCCTTTTTAGCATCCCTACCACAACCCCCTGCCCTCTGCCCTGAGTCCCTATTAAGGACCTGAGCAACAGAGGGTAAATTTACTTGTTTTTAATATTTCTGAATTCACCAAATTTTATCACACACAAGTACAACTTCTTTATAGTCTCTATAGCCCCATGGTGTTGAGCTAATTCTGAAGCAATAGGCGTTATAGCCAAATAGCCACATGTGGTTAATGGCTAGCACGTAGGACACCTCAGCTATAACCATTACATAATAACCATTATGCAATTATAAAATGCTCAGACATTCTTCATACTGCAGACTTCGGAGTTTACAACACTGTGTTACTAAAAACATGTTTCACAATGTAAATTTAATAATAAAATTTAACTTAAATCTTAGAGGGGAGGAAAAATGAATCCTTAACTTACTTTCTCTGTAGTTACAGTAAGAGACGGAACCAAAGATGGTGAGGATTCAGGTTGCTTCTTGTATTTCTGTTTGTGTTTGTCTTTTTCTTTATATTTCTAAAAAATATGAAAGCAAAATATAACCCAAGTTCTTGTTAATCTTCAACGTAACCCATGTATTACACACACAATGTAATTTTATTATATAAACATTAAAACAAATGTTGACTATAGAAGTTATATGCATGTGAAATATTAAACACGCACTTTGTTCAGCAGAACCATAAGAATGTTTGTATTGGGAAGCAGCATATTCTTTATTAGTTACAGTAATTATTATTGAATTACTATTATTAAAATAAAACTATCTTGCCAAAAATTAAAGATCTACTACTGTAATATTACAGAAGAAATGAATTAAAAAGCTTTTCCATTATGTTTTGAAGTTTTTGTATTTCCACTAGAATTACTGTATTCATAATGAACATTTTATTTATCATTTGGTTATTACTATAAATCAGTAGTTTAAAAAGTACTATAAATCAGGCAGAATATTAACTAATTTACACATCTCAGGCTTGCCTTACTACTGGTATCACAAATGATAATTTTATCAAGATGGCCATTTCCAGAAAACTATACTAATATTATTTATTACAAACTTCAGCCTCAGGGTAAAGTGATTAGTTCATGTACTGAGAGGAAATCAATTCTGAACTTTCAGTGAATTACACTGAATAAATAGTAGATTTCTCTTTTAAAATGGGCTGAAAAACTAGAAAGTATTTCTGTTTTCCTTTATTTTCTGACCAACACAAGTATAGCTAGCTACTACTGTGCAAATACCAAAGAAAATTGTCTCTTTTCCTGTTTTCAATCTAAGGACATGAGGCCACCTACAAGCCCCTCCGTTTGCAAAATCAGGACCTAAATTTTGTGTTTGGAGAAATCAATAAAAGGGTAGTAACAAACAATCTTTGATTTTTATAGCAATAATATGCTCTAGGGGAAATGAACAATTAACAAATCAGTTTAATGCTGTAGAAGTACTTCTATTTTTTCCTGTAACTGAATATCAAATGGATTTAGATTTTTAATTAGGGCTGTCAATTAATCGCAGTTAACTCGTGATTAACTCAAAAAAGATTAGTCACAATTAATCACAGTTTTAATTGCACTTTTAAATAATAGACTACTTTTTCAAATATATTTATTTCAATCACAACACACAGTGTACAAACCTCACTTTATATTATATTTTCTTTAAAATATTTACACTATAAAAATGATATAGTAATACATAATAAAGTACTGTAGTGCAATTTCTTTACTGTGAATGTGCAACTTACAAATATTCAGTAAAACCTATGCTATCTGGAACTTAAGCATCCGAAAAACTGTAGAAACTGGCAAATTACTTACGCCAGGAAAAGCAAAATAAAACAAAACAAAAATGGAAACTGGCCCTTTAAGTGCCAGGCCGCTCCTCAGACAAGTGTGTAGCACGTACCTAGGGGAGGGGCGAACAGCAGCAGAAAGCAAGCATCTCGGCTCCCCCCGCAG